TCCCTCCTAATGGCATCTTCATAAGCTAGTGATATTATACAATTAATTATGTTAATGTTTTAGGTAAAATTAATATTCAACTATAGCAATTTATTGGGTCCTAATATTATGTTACAAATATTACAATTTGAGCTAGGAATGGCGTTCAGTGATGGACCATGGATCATGGTCAGGGCTTGATCATCAGTTTTGTAAGTATTTTCTGGTTAGTTTGCTTCCCTTAAGTAATGCAATAGACAAAGCTGAATTTTATTCTACATTACCTCTAATGTGCTTTATTGTTAATAAGATTTCCTATATGTTTCTGTTAACCATGAAAATTATCTTACTATAAAAATCAATTCTGCGGTCTACAAAAAGTTGGTTCAATTATTGTTTTTCTGGAAGATCTAATGCCAGTTCTCAAGTCAGCTGGCTTATAACTGCCTGTCACCTCAGTTTCTAGGCACCTCACACCTTCTGGCCTCCACAGGCACATCCACACGTGTGACACGCACATAGAGAAATACACACATAGACATAAATAAAAATAAATATTTTTTTGACCAGTAAAATAACTCAGCATCTGATTGCCTGCTAGCCATGCTTGATGACCTAAGTTTAGTCCTTAGGATTCACATGGTGGAAGACAAAAACAGACTCTTACAAATTATCCTTTGATCTCCACATATGCAATGCTGTGCGTATGTGGGTAGACATGACACAAAACACACACACACATAAATAAATGTTTAAAAATGTCGCTATTTGCTTGTGAATTACACAGTTTCCTGGTTAGTTTTGCTATTTTTGACACAAGACATGGAAACGTCATTTGACAAAGTGTCTCCATCAGATTTTGTGTAGGCAAATTTGTAGGGCACTTTCTTGATTAATGACTGATATGGGAGGATCTAGACCACCATGAACTGTTATACAACTGGACATTTGTTCCTGGGTGTATAAGAAAACAAGCCAAGCCAGTCTTAGTGAATAAGCCAATGAGTAGCATTTCTCCATGGCTTCTCCCTTAGTTCCTGTATCTAGGTTTCTGTCCTGTGTTCTTGTCCTGACTTCCCTGCATGAGGGTCTGTAAGCTGTAAAATGAAATGAATTCTTTCCTTGATAAGCTGCTTTGTAGCCTTGGTGTTCATCACAACAATGGAAAGCTAAATAATGCACCATTGATGTGCCCAATGGAAAAATATCATCAATAATATTTCTTCTTCCTATCAACCATTAAAAGAAATCTTTTTTTTTTCATTTTTTTTTGAGACAGGGTTTCTCTGTATAGCCGTGGCTGTCCTGGAACTCACTCTGTAGACCAGGCTGGCCTCGAACTCAGAAATCTGCCTGCCTCTGCCTCCCAAGTGCTGAGATTAAAGGCATGTGCCACCACTGCCCAGCCAGAAGAAAACTTTTATAGCTACTAAATTTACTGTTTGTCAAAACAATGATGATGTATCAAAGCGTGTGTGTGTGTGTGTGTATGTGTGTGTGTGTGTGTATGTGTATGTTTGTGTGTTTGTGTGTGTTTTTGAGTGTGTGCATAAGTATGTTACATTACCAGTCATGTGTATTTGTATTTGTATGTGGGATATGAGTAGAAATTTATGTGTATGTGTGTGTATGTCAGAGGATAACCTTGGTAGTTGTTCGTCAGGTAACATCTTTTTTTTGACAGGTTCTTTCCCTCGAAACTTGCTTAGAAGCCATGGCTTTCTGAACCACAAGTCCCGGGGATTTGGTTATCTCCATCTGCCTGGCCAGCACTGGGTTGCAAATGAAAGCAGACTGACCTCAGGTCCTTAGGTTTAGAAACCAAGCATTTGACAGAAGCAGCTATCCTCACAGTCCACAGCTTATGCTCTTAAGTCTAAAATGGAACTGAAAATAGCCATTTGTTTAGCAAATAGGCTATGGTCTTATGTGGATTGTTTCTTTAGCCCTTGCATAGAAATTTCAGATGTAATGTTTAAACCATAAATCTCATGTTACCCTAACACTAAATCTCGGCAGCTTTCAAAGTTTTCTCTAATATATATTAAAACCAATTTCTTAACTCAGTCTAGCTAAGGAGCTTATTATGTTACAGGTAACATGGATATGAGACACAAACTAGTTTATGCTTCACAGTTCTATGTTGTATTTGGAAATATAAGCATGCGGTGATTTCAGTACTCTTTAATAAATAGCTAACAGGAATGCAAACTCTTTAATAAACAGATAAGAGATTATGAAGACAGCACTGGATCTTTGCAACACTTGGATTCACCATACGGCATAACTGAGTAGGAAGATAAGAAAATTGTAAAAACATCACCACAAATTCTATAAGGCTCAACATTCCAGTAACAAAGGCAGATAATGTCTCAGCTCTGCTCTCTCTTGTTATGCTATACACAGGGCATGCATCTAACATGCTGACTGTAAGGTTCCTCTACAATGAAATGGTAATGTTCATAATTCCTAGGGAGACTTGTGTGAGTGAATAAGCTAATGTATGTTAACCTTCAGCCCCTGGGATCAATGGCATGTGGTGGCATCAATACATCTTAGCAATGCTAAGCAAGTGACTCCAGCATCCAGAAGAGCATGCATTTTATGTTTAAGAAAGAGTTTAATACTGATCTAAATCAGTACTTAGTGGATCATAGAAGGTCTACAGGCAGAAAGCTAAAACATGGTAATACTTGCATGGACTGAAAACTTGGCGACTTTTAAAGTTATTAGATTGTATTATGAATCTGTGATTCATTGTCCTGTTAAATGAATACAACTTGACAACAAATTTTGATGCTTTCAAGTTCTTCTCTTGAGCGAAGGTTTCATGTATCTCAGGCTGGCCCTGAACTTGCTATATACTTAGAGATCACCTTAAACTTCTGATATCCTGCTTTCCGTCTCCTTGGTGTTTTTATTACTTATAAGGACCACCATGCATGTTTTATGGCATTCTAGGAATCAAACTCATGGCTTTTTGCATTCTCTGCAAGTCCTCTCTCAACTCAGAGGCATCTTAGACCCAGTTTATGCCTCTTTGGGTGATTTTCTTTCTAAACTCACATTTAGTTTGTGAAATGAATTCCAAGTCTCCATAACCCTTTCAAACAAGTATATTGAAGATAATTTAAACACAATTCAGATATTCACTACAAATTCATATAGGATATATAGAATATAGAATACAGAATATAGAATACCTACTGGGTATGTCTAACTTTGTAATTCTTCAGTAGGAAAAACAACCAGATAAATAACATAATAATAAATATTTTTAAAGCAACCAGAAAAATTTATGAATATTAGAAACCTCCAAATATAGATATTAAAGAATCACGTTTTCCATCTTTAACAATTTATAAGAGAAAAGACACAGTTTTAAATGCGCAGCTTTTTAAAACTGTGTGAGCAACGTCTTATTAATATGGACATGATTTCTGCAGAGGACATTCTAGAACGGATCTGGAAGAGGCTTTTAAGGTTGTTTCACATCCTCAAAGAAAGCTGATGAAATTCAGGAGAGCAAGAGACAGCTGTGAACTGTTTCATTTCCTTAACAGAGTATTAAAAAAAAGTACAATCTGACATTTTATCTTTGCTTTCGTGTTTCAAAGTACAAAATTTAGAATATTAATGTAGGTTCTACAGAACTATTTTAGAAACGAAATTTTGCCTATTGTGTATTTTTTTTTCATAAAAATGTCTCTCCAACTCTGTATTCTACACACTTCACCAAGATCTCATTATGCAAGCAACGTAGAACTGTCTCAGTTCAAAGATGGTTTATGCATTTCATTCCCTAAAATATCGCTGGTCAACAGAAAAATGGTCAGTAGGAGTTTTATACTTTTCACAAAGGCTCCTGTGGAGATGATAATACACGAGGCCCAACTGAGAGTTCAATTAAACCTATATACTTAAATGTATTTTTCAGAACAAAGAATATTAAGTGTGTGAAATGCATTAAATTCGCACTATCCAGTCATGCTATAATGGCTCAAAAATAAAATTTTATATTGCTTCGTTATTATTTTCAAATTACAATTTCCTTTCTTGTTGGCTAAAGTTCTCGTTGGCTATTTTTGAAGTGTGCGCACTTCCAGCTCATGAGTAATATGCCGTTTCTTGAAATAAGCATGGGTGAGCAAGCTCAAGCCGTCTCTTGGCAAGGCAAACTTGCTGATCCCCAGATATTTTTCTCCTTCTGAGACATCAAAGGAAGTTGGATCCTGGGATTTGTTTATGATCCCAGGTGTTCTCTCTCCCTGGCATGAGCTGAATATCTAACAGGAGACTACAGGATTTCCTGTGTGATTTTCACTACAAAATCCCATGAATAATTAACTAGTAAGATAAAAAAAAATCTTTTGTGATGATGAATCCTCCCTTGGGATAAAAAAGTCAGAAAATGTTCCATTTTAGATTATTTCATTCTTCATTATTCCTGAAGAAAAAAAAATACATTACTGCTCTATACCATGACTGATCTAAAGGCTGCAGACATACTCCTTCCTTGGGACTGCATGAAACACACTCTGAGGTGTTACTTAAGTCATGATCTCCTTTCAATCTCCGGTTTGTACCCTGTGAATGGATATACATCTGATTTTCAAAGGTAGACAGTACATGAAACTTAATAATTACTTTAATCACACTGAAAAAAATCAGCATCGATGGCTATAAGTGTATAAAATTTACATTGACATTCAACTTCTTCTTGCTCAGTCATCTTGAAGAGATTCAATGTTGACATACTACCTACCCTTTATTTTCTTAGGCAGTGAATGTTCTTGCATTAAAAACATTGTTACCATAGGCATTTACGTACATTATCATCAAAGTAATGCTTCATCAAAATTAGATGCCATAGAGACATGCAATGAATGAAGGATCTCGACCTGTAAATGTCACATCCGTTGCCTTCTTTATATTTATGTGATATTTTTATGTCATCACAGAGAATACATGCAAGTTAAAGAGTAATATATTTTAAAAGAAAAGTATAGGAATATACATACTATAAGGGACACATTCATACTGCACTTCAAGGTATTTATATGTTCCCGGACATGGGTCTGGAAATACATCAGGACCTGCCACCACTGCACACTGGGTTCTGTTATTGCATCTGAAATCAAAAGAAAAAAAACAGTAAATTTATGCAAGTTGAAATCATCGTGAACACCAACACCGACGTTATTTTGCCTCCCAGTTATGTACAACTAAAGAAGGTTTGCTGACTTACGACTTGACTTCAGACTTATTAAAGGAGGCTCGGACTTGCACTTTAAAAAGCACAACACAAACATCTATCAGTGTATTATCCTCATAGTAAGTTATACTTGCTTGAATAGGGCACAGTTTTGAAGTAGCACTTAAGGGTTACTGAAGCGATACAATGTCATCCCTAGGACACTGGCAATGTGAATACTTGGCGGGATTCTTTAAGAGGAATGACCTCCTCCTATTTCAAAAGGGATACTTAATAGAATATAACTAAATATTTTCTTAGACAGTTGTAAAATAAATTTAATGAATGTGATAAAACTTACATTAAATGAGTAAAAAATTACCCTTAAAACCTTTATCCATGCTTAAAAATTCAGTAAAAAGTTAGTGACTCAGGATTAATGAGATGGTTCAGCTGGTTAAGTTGTGTGACGTCAATCAAGCCTGATGAATTGATTTTAATCCCCAACACTCATCAGGTAGAAAGCGAAAATCAATTCCATTACACCTTGAAATGTGTACCGAAACACTTGTGAGCACATACATGCACAAAATAAGTGTAAAACTGTCTCAAACTTATCACTTAAATGGAGAAATGCTTATTCTTCACAGTTGATACCAACTGCATAAGTAACACCCCTTTAAAGATCCGATTGTCCATGTTTTGACATTCCATCTAATAATGACACCAACCTCACAGATTACATGCCATTTATGTCAATATTATGGAATTCAAAAGAGGAGCTTTACATTTTATTAGATAATGGAAACATTTACTATTATATCTTACAATTACTATTATAGCAGACATAGCCTCTTGGGCACTTGCATATTTTTAGATTAAACCAATTTGGGCTGATGTACCCTTGAGGAAAAAATATACATATAAGTAATTCATTCACCTCTGAAAAAGAATCTAACTCATAGCGACCTCAGTACAGAGTACAAAGTAAATGCGTTTAATGGTTTCTCAAACACATAGTATTGGCATGCCGTGTATGCGATGGCCACACTGACTGTTTTATGTTCTCTCTTAGGGCTAGGTTTTCCTATCACTTTCTTAAATACTTCATTCCCTGATGCAGACCATTCCTCGGAAGACTACTAGGAACTTGAAACCTATATGAATTAGCAAACACGAGATTCAGTTTGATTTAGAGTAAAAAAAAAAATAATGTCTTTACTTGAGACAATTATTTCACATATTGAAAAAGGATTTTGTTTAGTCAAAAATTAAGATTGAGTCATCATTAAATGTCTCAAGCTGAAAATATATTTTATGAGTCAATGATGAATTCAAGTTTTAAAAAGACCATAATTAGCCCAGCATGTAACCCAAAGAGTTAACAAGTTCTAATGTTCTCCACTATAGATGTGACATCTGTTCTCTTGGCCAGGTTGCTGTATCTTAAGATAAACATGAGTGTCATTTAACATACAGGACAATGCAATATCCTGGAGTATACTCATGAACACCAGCACTGCTTTCTTATTACAGAGAAAGTCTAATCCCAGAAGACATATCACATTATTTCAGGAGATTTGTAGTAAACCCAAACAATCTTCACATATTACATAAATCACGTAGATTCATTATATGCACTAAAGAAAATTTAAACAGTCTTCACTGACAATTTTAGCTATTTTGTATCTTCATGTACATCTAAGTTGAACTTGTGTGTAATGAGACAGTTCATGTGAAGAGATACAACATCTAAAAATCCCATGTAATAATATATGCACCCTGTATTATGTAAAACAGGACTACCTTATAATTTCTACTCTTAGAAAAATTTACTATTTTAGTTCAAAGTACTCTGAATATCAAAGGAAGACAAGCATGTTGAAATCTATGAAATGTTCTCTATATCTAAGGTGCATTATAATCTTTGTATAAGACATACCATAATCATAGTACTAGGTATTTAAATATTTTGAAGACATGGTAGATTTGAAAATCAAAATGGAAAGAAATCTTTCCTCTTAGGTTTCTGCTTGTACCTCAGCTACTAAGTCAAAAGCTTTTGAACAATTCACAGTTTTATAGTAATTTCAAAATCATAAGTAAAGTCATTCCAATATACTATATACAAAGAAAGAAATAAAATCCAATGTTCCTATGTGAGAAATTTAGATGTTGTACTGTTTGTTTTTAATATAAATATAAATTAAAATGATTTCTAATATTCTTTAAATCTTATACTACAGATATTTTTAGATTCACAACAAAGAATAAAAGACTGCAATAATATGTTCAAATACACTTTAATCCACTAATAAAATGAAAATACCCTAATCATGAAATATTTGAGCAGGATTATTTATATCAATACTATTTACAGTCTTGATTTCATTAGTTTATGTGAATATCACCTCTACTGTAACATTAAGTCATTGTAAGAAGACAACAATAAATGTCAGGTAGATTCTAAAAGAAAAAAGTCATTTAAAAATCCACCAAAACATTCTTTTGTTGTCTTATTGCTTTACCTAGAACTTTGAGTACTATATTGAATAAATAGGGAGAGAGTAAGCAGTCTTGTCTTGTCCCTGATTTTTGTGGGATTGCTTCAAGTTTCTCTATATTTAATTTGATGCTGGCTGTTGGTTTGTTGTATATTGCTTTTATTATGCTTAAGTACATGCCTTGAATTCCTGATCTTCCAAGACTTTTAACAACAAGGGGTGCTGTACATTTTTAAAGGCTTTTCAGCATCTAATGAGATGATCATGTGATTTTTTTAGCTTGTTTATATAGTGGATTATGTTGATGGATTTCCATATATTGAACCATCTTTGTATCTCTGGGATGAAGCCTACTTGATTGTGGAGAATGATCATTTTTGATGTATTCTTAAATTTAATTTGCAAGAATTTTATTGAGTACTTTTGTGGTACATTTATACAATGGAATTCTACTCAGCTATTAAAAATGATGACATCACCAACTTTGTAGGCAAATGGATGGAACTAGAAAATATCATCCTGAGTTAAGTAACCCAGACCCAAAAAGACATGACATACATAGTATGTATTCACTGATAATTTGATATCAGCCTAAAATCTCAGAATACTCAAGATATAACTCACAGACCATATGAAGCTTACCAAGAAGGAAGGCCAAACTATGGATGCTTCAAACCCACTAAGAAGAGGGAACAAAATAATCACAGGAGGCAGAGGGAGGGAGGGATCTGGGTGGGAGGTGAGAGGTGAAGAAAAATGGGGGTGGGACCAGGTATGGGAAGAGACAGTAGAGAAGTCTAGAGGGCCGGGAGAATAAATAGAAATAAGTTTCAGTAAACCACCAAGCACAAAAGTCCTGAAACTGAAGTTTTAGCAAATATATCAATAAGATTTATTTTATTATATCACAGAGTTGGTGAGCCTATTACAAAAACATGGTAGGCAGAGTTATGGTTGTTGTTTCTGTCAGTGTTATGATCATTACCATGAGTCAGTAGTTTCAAGACAGGATTGAATTCAGGAAAATGGGCACATGTGAAAGAAACTATCAATGCAAGCAGTGTGACACCAAGCAACATCTAAATTCTCTGGTTTGAGGGTAGAAACAGCAGAAAATATAGTTACATAAAGGTATCGAGTATCTCCCATAAAACCTCAGTGACAGGGTAAATCACAGGGGTCTCACCACTAGATAAAGACTGTAGGCAACTAGGAAAAGCAGAGGACAGAAGAATTCTTCCACAGGCTTGAGCAGAGCAACTGATTATCCAGTACCAAATGGATGTCAGCTCTGAAATTATACATACACAGCCAATACTAAATAGACCCAGCGTGTTGCATTTGCATACATGTTTTTGTGTCTATGTACGTGACAACCACAACTAAACAGAAGAGGTCATGAATCTGAGATGGAGCAGATAGGGTACATGGGAGACATTGGAGAAAAGAAAGAGATATTATTACCTACTAAGAAAAAATAATGAAGCACAAATGTGTGTTTTAAAGCAAATACATAAAAACAAAACCATGTAATGCTGAACACTAAAAAAAAAAAAGAAAAGGGAAAAAAACCTTTCCAACTACATGACAAGTCCTTTGTTACATGAAAACTACTCTCCTTTACATATTCTAGGATAAAGCCAAGATTTTTGATTAAACGCCTTTCTTCTATTAACCTAAACTTAGAAACGTTCACATATATCCTATATTGCATTACGTTCAGTTGATCTCATTGTGCCAGCTTACCAACTAATGAAATTGCATGCAGTTAAGATATATACTGTGACCTTTTAATGTATGCACAAGTTATAAAACGATTCTCTCCCATAGCATAACAAGGTTACTGACATATGATCATCTAATGGAATGACATCCTTCTTTGTTTGAAGAAAGGGTGATCTACTCCCACTGCAGACTTCAGAACACGTTAACTAAGACCACCGTTCTGCAAACTTTATCACCAGCATACCTGTGTCCTATATTTCTAAAATTGTACAGACTTTGATCAGAATCTCTCTTCTTCGACCGCACCTCAGACATAGGCAGCCTCCGTTCTGTGTTGTTTCTGTAAGATTCATGGGCTTATAGCCCTGGAATTGAGCCTTGAAATGAACAAACCCATACACATTGTTTAGAAAACAATTGCCATCCTTTAACAATTTATGAAGTGTAATGGTGACTTATCAGCCATAATCTTTCCATCTTTGAAATCTATAACAGTGGCTGGCTAGAATTAAGAATGTTTTCAATTAAAGGTAAATGGAATTGAATTTGCATCACTTTATTACCTTCTACATATGGAATCATTTGGAAGCTGAACCCCCTTTACTTGCATGTGGAGTGAGCCAAACAAATTGAAATGTCTACTTGAATTCATTGTCTGCAAGAGTAGTGAACAGTGATTCTTCTTTGCCCTAAATATGAAGGGGCAAG